TTGAGGATGTCTCGAGCGAGACGCCTGGTTTCACGCCTCCAGGTGGCCCAGACAGATGTCTAGCATGAGGATTTGTTGAGGATGTCTCGAACCAGAGGCTTGTTTTCACGTGTCCAGGTCGCCCAGGCGGATGTCTAGCATGAGCATTTGTTGAGGATGTCTCGAGCGAGACGCTTGTTTGCACGTGTCCAGGTTGCCCAGGCGGATGTCTAGCATGAGGATATGCTGACAACGTCTTGAGCGAAACGCGTGTTTTCACGTGTCCAGGTCGCCCAGGCACAGCACAGCCCTCGGCACGGTACATCAATATCGATACCCTGAGCATTGCAGCCTGGCATGTTGCCTGGCACGTTCCGCGGAGCGTCCCGTGGCGAGTCCCCCTGGCACGTCGCGCGGTGCACGTCCATTGGCACGTTCCGTAGCGCGTCCCCTTGGCACGTCCCGCGGTGCGTGCCCATGGCACGTCCCCTGGCACGTCGCCTGGCGCGTCCCTTGGGACGTTCCGCGGCGCGTCCTCTTGGCATGTTCCCTCTGTCGATTAGTTCTGGGGCAGCTACCATCTGCTCAGGCAGCTCGAGCTTACGATCCAGATCAGTTCGGTGAGGACTCGGATGCCAGGGAGGACTCGATCCACAACGCTATACAGAGCACAATCGCGGCATGGCACATCGCAGTTCAGCACGGCCGAGCACAGCACAGCCCTCGGCACAGTACATCATCATCGATACATTCAGCATTGCATGTGCCCGTCGCCCAATCAGGTGTCTTTGAAATGTTGCAATGCCTTACATTCCTATATTCCTTTCCGGGTTCGTGGGTCGATCATGTTTGACCATTTGGGAGTACTTTTTTAACATATATATATATATATGTAAACAACATGTTTCGTCGAAAATCCTCCTGTAGGGGGACACGCCCGTCTTAACCGCCTTTTGTTGGAATCTCGGGCTAGTCGGCCGGAACAGCCAAAGAGCCCTCCCTCCTCTTTCTCCTCCCTCGTCCCTCTTCCTTTGTCCCTCCCTCCTCCCTCTTCTTTCATTCGTCTCCCGCCTCGTTCCTCCCTCCTCCCTCCGCCTTCCTACACTGTCCAATGCGAAGGCCTTACGGCCTGTGCCTGCGACCCTTGAGGCCTCGGCCCTCGACGGACATTGCCGCGCAGGCCTTTTGTTTCAATCTCCAGCCTTATGGCCGCAACAGCCAAAGAGTCCTCCCTTCTCTTTGCTTTCTCCTCCGTCGTCCCTCTTCCTTTGTCCCTCCCTCCTCCCCCTTCTTTCATTCGTCTCCCTCCTCGTTGCTCCCTCCTCCCTCCGCCTTCCTACACTGTCTATTCCGTAGTCCCTCTTCCTCCTTCTTACCTCCCTCCCCTTCTCTCCATTGCGCTCTGTGTTTGAGAGCGTCCCTCGCTTGCGAGACTATGCTGTGGTGGCGTAGGTGACGTAATGGTGAAAGCGACGGTACCAGGGTTAGGTGATGATTGCGCACAGGAGACAAGAGGAGGGGTATGTCGGGAGGACAGGATACATTAGGCGAGGGTATGTAATCAATTCGCACACTTGGATGAACGGGAAGTGTCAGTGCATGATGCATGTAGTATGGCGATTGCTGGAAAGGCAGGTGAAGGCATACATAACATCATATTTCGTCTTTGCACGAACATGTACAGCGGGTATCAACCCGAACGCAATTGGACAGCGACGATGGCATGCGGGCTTCGAGCTCGAGGAGGAGGATGAGCAGGAGGAGGAGGAGGAGGAGGAAGAGGAGGAGGAGTTGAGGAGTAGGAGGAGGAGGAGGAGGAGGAGGAGGAGGAGGAGGAGGAGGAGGAGGAGGAGGAGGAGGAGGAGGAGGAGGAGGAGTAAAAGCAGTATCCGGATGACGATGAGGACGATCTCCTCTGGGGCCTCGATTTGGCCGTTTGAGATTCTTGAGCTTACGCCGCACCGCCGACCCCTTGGGGGGCTCCTGGTAGGTCTCTCGGGGGCATTCTGGCAGCACTTTTGAAGCCTTTCGGAGGCCGTTTCGGTGCCTCTTGGGGCCACTTTTGGGCCTGGTGGGCCTCTTGGAGCCTCTTGGGGTCTCTTGGTGGCGTCTTGGAGCCTCCTGGAGGCTTCTTGGGACCGAGGGCTCAGAATTTCCGTTCGGGTCCCCCACCTGGCCCCCCTCCTGGAGCCGTCTTGGGGGGCCTCTTGGGCCGTCTTGGGGCCCTCTTGGGCCGTCTTGGAGCCTTCTTGGGGCCCTCTTGGGCCGTCTTGGACCGTCTTGGCGCGATCTTGGAGGCCTCTTGGGCCGTCTTGGACTTTGTGAAAGCCCAAGAGGCGAATGTGCTAACATCATACGTTTCCTTAAAGGGAATGGAGCGATTTTTGCTTCTGGGGGCCCTCTTGGGGCGCCTCTTGGGGGCCTCTTGGGGCGTCCCGGGGGCCTCTTGGGTCGTCTGTGGGCCATCTTGGGCGTTTTGGAACGATCCATCGGCGACTCGGGGCCCTCCTGGACCATCTTGGGGCCCCTTGGGGCCCTCATGGTCCATCGTGAGGCCCGTGGCGCGTTCACCCGGGCCGGCTCCCTCCAAACCGACCGGACCGAGCCCCGGGGGGGAGGAGTTTAGAGAGGGGGAGGCATCTCACACGCCGATGACCCAAAGGGGTCGGCGGATTTCCAGTATCTCCCATGGAGGCATGGGAGAATGGTGATGTGGAGATGTGACAAAGATGTGCAGAACGAGGGGAGGAGGGACATGGCAGGACAGGGGCGAAACAGGACGAGGTTGAGAAGGGGGGTGGGTGAGCAGGTAGCGCGGAGGAGATGGGGGGAGGAGGAGGGGGAGGAGGAGGAGGAGGAGGAGGAGAAGGAGGAGGAAGAAAATGACGATGATGAGGATGGCGAGGACGATGCTGCTGCCGATGATGATGACGACGATGATGACCATGCCGAGATAATGCTGCTACTGTCGCTGCTGTTGTTGCTGATGATGCTGATTATGAGAACGATGCTGCTAATGATGAATATGTCGATCTCGATAGCGACTATGGCGATGCTGATGACGATGCTGATGTTGCTGATGATGATGATGATGATGATGATGACGATGCTAATGAAGACAATTATGATTACGATGATGAGGATGAGGAGGAAGAGGAGGAGGAGGACCTTGTAGTGAATGGCGATGCTGCTGCTGATGATGGTAATGGTGATAATGTTGATGATGAGGAGGAGGGGGAGGTTGATGCTGATTATGATCATGATCATGATGCTGATGCTGATGCTGATGATGATGCTGGTGCTGATGCTTATGCTGATGCTGAGGATGATGGTGATGATGATGACGATGCTGATGCTGATGCGGATGCTGATGCTGATGATCATGATGCTGATGCTGATGCTGCAGATGATGACGACGATGAGAATGATGGCATGCAGATGACGACGATTATGATAATGACGACGATGATGATGGTGATGATGATGACGACCATGCCGATCACGATGCCGATGGCGATGACGATGACGATGCTGATGATTCTGGTGATGATGATGATGATTATGATGCTGATGATATTGATGCTGATGATGATGATGGTGATGATGCTGATGCTGACGATGTTGGTGATGATATTGATGATGATGATGATGATGATGATGATGATGATGATGATGATACTGATTATGATGCTGATGATGATGATGATGATGATGATGATGATGATGATACTGATAATGCTGATGATGGTGATGATGGTGCTTACGATGATAACTGTGATGATGATGCCGCTGGTGATGACGATGATGATGATGATGCCGATGACGATGATGATGATGATGATGATGATGATACTGTTGCATGATAATGGTGCTGACGATGATGCTGAAGATGTTGATGATGCTGCTGCTGAAGATCCTGCTGCTCCTGCGTCTGATGATGACGTGGGTGCTGATTAGGGTGCTGCTGATGATGATGGCGCTGATTATGCTGCTGCTGATGATGCTGATGCTGATAATACTGGTGATGATGATGATGATGATGATGCTGATGGTGTTGCCGATGATGATGCTGATGATGTTGCTGATGATGATGACGCTACTGATGCTGATCATGATGATGCTGATGCTGCTGATGATGATGATTCTGGTGATGATGATAGAGCTGATCATGATGATGATGATGCTAGTGATGATGTCGATGATGATGTTGATGCTGATGATGATGATATTGACGACAATGATGGTGCTGATGCTGATGATGGTGAAGATGACGGGGGTGATGCTGCTCAGTATGGAAATGCTGATGATTGTTAATGATGGCGCTGCTGATGATGCTGCTGCTGAGAATGCTACTGCTGATGATGCTGATGATGATGGTGATGGCGATGACGAAGCTGCTGATGATGATGATGATGATGATGATGATGATGATGATGATGATGATGATGATGATGATGATGATGATGATGATGGCAATGATGATGACGATGCTGACGACGATGATGATGCTGATGATGATGATGATGATGATGATGATGATGATGCTGATGCTGATGCTGATGCTGATGATGATGATGATGATGACGACGATGATGATGATGATGATGATGATGATGATGATGATGATGATGATGATGATGATGATGATGATGATGATGATGATGCTGATGATGCTGCTGCTGATGATGATGATGATGATGATGATGATGGTGGTGATGGTGGTGATGATGATGATGATGATGAGGTTGATGATGAGGTTGATGATGGTGGTAGTGGTGGTTGTGGTGGTGGTTGTGGTGATGATGGGCACTGATGCTTGATAATGATGAGGGGGACGATCTGGAGGAGGAGGCGGAGGAGGTGGAGGAGGAGGAGGAGGAGGAGGAGAACGATGGCGGAGTGGATGCGTGGAGGAGTTGGGGCAGAGGGGGAGAAGGAGGAGGAGGAGGAGGAGAAGGAGGCAAGCGCCCGCAGTGACAGCAGTTGCGACGGCCGCCCATCGGGTGCGGCCGCCCAGCAAGGGCGACGCCTACGACTTCCGGAGCACCGACGCTGCCCAGGACGCGGAGAGCAGATGGCTGAGGTCCCCACCCCCTCTACTCACGGGCAGCGACATGGGGGGACCAGCTCAAGTTCGAGGTTTTCGCGTATTTGAGTTGGTTCTTGGTTGTTCTCCAACTTCGCGGTGCTCTCCAGCGGCTGCGCCTCGCCGAGGGCGGTCAGGGCGTAGCTGGATCGTCCCGAACGGCCGCCCGTGAGCCGAGGTATAGCCCGAAAACCACCAGGGGAATCTGCTCACGAGGGGAAGCATCGACTTCCAATTCGCCGATTTCTCGCCGATCGGGGCCTTGGTGCCCCAGCATGCCCGTGACCGTTGGGGCTTCCCACTGGGGGCCCATCGCCGATCTATCACCGAAGTGTCGTCGATTCCAGGCCATTGTTCCGCCCCCATAGCCAGCCCCCCCTTCAGCCCCAGTCATCCTCGACGACTGCATCGTCGATGGCGGCAGCGACGACGGCGCTTGGGCTCTCGGAGGGCCTCCGAGGTCCTTCGGTGGCTTTCCGAGGCCTCTGGTCAGGAGAGCTCCCCAGAAGGCCCTGGTACACCACCACCCTCCTGGGCCCCAGGATGGCGCATAGACCGTCCTGGCCCGGGCAAGGAGTGCGTACGCAACATGCTAGGGCCCAGTGTGGCCCTGGCCAGCCAGGGTGGCCCGTGCCAGGCACGGTGATGGGGTATACGGGCTTGATGCGTGTCTTTCTGACTGCTGTTTGTCTCCCTCTCTCTCTCTCTGTCTCTCTCTCTCTCTCTCTCTCTTTCTGTCTCTCTTTCTCTCTCTCTCTCTCTCTCTCTCTCTCTTTTTTTTTTCTCTCTCTCTCTCTCTCTCTCTGTCTCTTCTGAAGAGGAGCGGCGAGAGGATGAGGAAAGAGGTGCCAGATGGGGTGGATCAGACGTGTAAGAGGAGGATGAGGAGGAGAAGGAGCAGTCTATCTCGCTGAATCCCTTGTGGGCCCCTTTGCGTACATCTGCCTCATTCCGTCCTGTCCCCTCATCCTCCGCCTCGATTTCCTCCTCCTGTCTCCGCTCGAGAAGCCAGGCGACGCGGGGCCCAGAAACGGGGGCAGAAACAGAGCAGCCTCACTCATTCTCTTCCTCTCGCCCTCCATTCTTCTTGCTCTCCCCTTCTCTCCGCTCTCTCCTTCCCCTCTTCCTAGTCCTTCTCCTCTCCCTCATCCTCCCCTCTCCCGCTCCTCCTCCTTCTCCCCCGTCTCATCCTCTTCCTGCTTCTCGACCTCCCCGCTTGTCCTGCTCCTCGTCGTCGTCGTCATTATCGATGCCGCCGCCACTGCTAGCCCCGCAGTCGCCATCGCCGTCGCCGTCGCCGCCCCCGCCGTCGCCGTCGCCGCCGTTGCCGTCCGTCGCCCGTTGTCCGTGGTCGTCGTTCGTCCTTCGTCGTCCGTCGTCCTCGCTGCCGCCGCAGCCGGCATCGTCGATGCCGTCCTCGTCGCCCGGGGCTTCCTCCTCCCTCCGCGGGGTGCTGCGCGCGCTGGCTCTCTCCGGGCCAGGGACCTGCAGCACCCCAGCGGCGGCGACGCCGCGCTCGGCGGCGCGCCGCCGCCCCCCTGCCTCGCGCGTCGTTCCCTGGCGGTGGCCAACGCGTCGGCCGCCGCCCGGGGCTCCGACCCCGAGGCTCGGGCTGCCTTCAGCCGTGGGGTGCCTGCCAGCAGCTGTGCCTCGCCGACAGCGTCCCGGGGTTGCTCGGATCATCCCGAGCGGTCGCCAGAGACCGGGGTTATGACCCGAAATCCGAAAGGGGGGGAGAACCCGACGATAACATGTGACTTTCGCCTGGTATCGGGCCCCGGGGTCATCGTCGATCGATCTGCCTAGAAAAGTGTCAGAAAGAGTGGATCTAGGGCTCGGGTCGTGATTCTTCGCAATGCAGCATTGCGAAGGCCTTGCGGTCGGTGCCGCCGACCGTGAAGGGGGACGACGACGACGACGACGACGGCGACGACTACGACGACTACGACGACGGCGACGCTGTCGTGGGACAGACGGCGCGATGCAGCATTGCGAAGACCTTGCGGCCGGTGCCGCCGACACTGAAGGGGGACAGCGACGACGACGACGACGACGACGACGGCGACGACGACGACGACGGCGACGATGACGACGCTGTCGTGGGACAGAGTCCTCAGGGATTCTGTTTGGCGTCTCTTCAGAGCGCTCTCGGAGGCTTCCGGGGGGGCAGTTTTGGGGGTCCTTGGGAGAATCTTGGAGGCCTCTTGAGAGCCTCTTGGAGAGGCCAAAATGTTGCTAAAACCTTAGTAAGATCAATTCTGTTGGCTTCCTCGCCGAGGCCCTCTCGGATGCTCCAACCCCTCGCGACAGGCCCCGCCCAGACCCAGGGGGAGGGGTCAACCCTGCCCCACAGGGGAAGAAGGTGGTTGGAAGAGGGGACTCCCTAAACCGAACCAGTCACGCCGTAGGGGCTGGTGGGATTTTGCGCCTCCTCTCCTTTCTCCCCTCCCTTGCACCCCCGCCTCCGCCTCCTCCCTCCCCCTGACATATGACTGTAATGTGTTTCGATGTGCTTCATGCTTGCTCGCGGCTTGGACCTAGGCTTCTATTGTACACCACCCGTCCGAGTATCAACTCCTACGTTCTGGTTGCGTGTTTCTTCTTTTCTTGTCCTTGCCCGCCGGCCAAATCGCTTGTTAGTGCCCCTTTCTAGCTTCTCGCTGGAGTGGAGTTCGCCGCCTTTCCGCCGGCGAAAAACGTGAACCTTCTTCCTTCCTCTTCCTCTCCCTCTTCTCCTTTCACCCTCGGGTTAGTTTCGACGACTTCGCTCTGTCCTCTACACCCCATCCCCACGGACTGCATTTTGACTGGGATGGGGGGCTTTGCGCAGCTTGAACGATGCACGTGTTCTGGCGTGCGCTCGTAGAACGCGCTCAGTCGATAGTGCGGTCACGCGCTTTCCAAGCTGACTTGTGAGTCGGTTGTCAGGTTGTGGCGCTGATCCTCCTCGCTTCTCTTCTCACTCATGCGGCACGCTCGTTCCTCTTCCAGGCCACGGTTCATTTCATGCATTTGCCAATCGCAGGCGCCGTCTTGTGGTGTTCCCGGTTTGCTTGGCGACCTTTGATTCGCGCTCTGGCCGATGCCGGGTCAGGTGAAGTTCTGTGGTCGCGCTCCCTCCCACCCTGACATCACATAGCTCACACCACGTAGCTTTCACCACATGCATTGCAATGCAAAGCCGGCACCGCGGAATTGGCTTACGGTATTTTTAGCTTGCACCACATAGCATGCACCACATAACTTGCACCACGCAGTTTTTGCCGCATAGTTTGAACCTTTTACTTACATCACAAAGCTTGCACCGCATCCGGTTGTTTTGTTGACGCCCGCTTTCCCTGTCAAAAAACAATATAAAATGACATGTCTTGTTCTAACATAACCAAACTTCAAGACCCCTTTGCAAAAAAATGACACGAAGTGCACACTCGCGCGCGCAAGATGAAATCCTTCCAAAACCTTAGTTTTCGTAGCGATTTTAACATAAAAACATGAAAAACCCAATGGTTTTTCAAAAAAAAAGGTTTCAACAATTCATCCCGCGCGCTCTTGCGGATTTCTTAGGAAACCCAATACTTTTTCAACTTTTCTGTCAAACGGGCTCTTGCGAGCAACTTTTTCACGTGCTTCGAACTTCTGCAACAACGGTTGCGCGCCTGCCAGGGCCATCATCCCTGTCAAATAATACCATATGGGACACATTCGTTTTTTCTTCGCGCGCGCACGCCGAAATCTTCAATTGCAGGGGGAAAAGTCGTATACTAAGCTAGCTTACAGAAAATGTTACCACAACAAGTCATTGTACCCATGCGCCAGTGTAGTAGCCAAGGTCGTCCGCAGGCCACGAAGTGAGGTGTCCGAACGTCATAGGGCGGGAAGCTGGGTGTGGGTGGTGGCGAAGAGTCGTTTGGAAATGTGGTAGAGCTTGAACCGGCCCCCCCACAAAGTGGGGGTATTGCCCGCCTCCTATGAAAACCCTGGCACTGGTGAGAACGGAGTGTCCCCACGTGCTAGTAATTGTTGTTGTTGTTGTTGTTGTTGTTGTTGTTGTTGTTGTTGTTGTTGTTGTTGTTGTTGCTGTTTGTTGTTGTCGTCGTCCCACCCGCGACCCGCCCCGCGTCCGCCCACCCGCGACCCACCCGCGACACACCCCTCGACCCACCCGCGACCCACCCCGCGACCGCGACCCGCGACCGCGAACCGCGACCCACCCGCGACCCACCCGCGACCCACCCGCGACCCACCCGCGACCCACCCGCGACCCACCCGCGACCCACCGCGACCCACCCGCGACCCACCCGCGACCCGCCCCGCGACCCACCCAAAATTTTGGGCGCCTGCGGCGGGTTTCTTTTGCATTTGTTCCAGGTCGTTCCAGGTGGAGAACCTGCGACCCACCCGCGACCCAAACCGCGTTCAGTGTACAAATCAAAATTTTCGGCGCCTGCGGCGGGCTGTTTTTGAATTCCTCCCAGGTGGAGGTGGAGAGCCCGCGACCCAAACTACATTCATTGAACAAGCCAAAACTTCGACGTCTGCGGCGGATTTCCTTTGCATCGGCGACCCACCCGCGACCCACCGGCGACCCACCCCGAGACCCACCCGCGACCCACTCCCGGACCCGCGACCCACCCGCGACCCACCCGCGACCCACCGCGACCCACCCGCGACCCACCCGCGACCCACCCCGCGACCCACCCAAAAGTTTCGGCGCCTGCTGCGGGTTTTTTTTCCATTCGTTCTAAGCGTTTTTTTGCACTCATGAGGGCCACGAGGTTCGCCGGCCGCCGGCTCGACGCCCGCGTCGCCCGCGCCCGCCCCCTCATTCTTATCCGCAATTGCGGGGTGCAGCGTATTTTTAGTGAGGCTCGGAACTGACACAGCGCGTGGCCGGGCTGCATTGGAGGCAGGATCGACGAGGGAGGCGTAGGAGCGGAAGCGAGGGGGGACGAGGGGCAGAGACGGGGGCGGCGGGCAGGGCAGGGGGGAGGCAGAGGGCTTTGCGGGGAAGCCCATGGGAGGCTCCGCGAGGGCTCCCATGGGCCCGCGGTGGGTCCGGACTCCCCCCCCCGCGGTGGGTCCGGACTCCCATCGGCATTTGTTTTGCACGTCTGGGGGGACTGCCGAGGGGAGTCCGAACCCATTGCGACCCCCATGGGCGCTCCCGCGGCGGTGGGTCCCGACTCCCCTCGGCAGTGGTATTTGAAATGTCCGGAGGGGCCGAGGGGCCTGGCGCTGGCTCCGCGTGGCCCCCCGGGTGCCCTCGAGTCCGTTGCGACTTGGGATCCACAGCGCTCTCTGGTTCCCAGAGTTGTCGTGTCGTTGGGGGCATGGGCGGAGGAGTCAACCGATGCTGCCTCCAGATTATGCCACTGGGTGTGCCAAAATGAACTGATGGAGCCTGAACGGGGCCTGCAGTGGGCCGTCCTGGAGCTGTCTTGATGTCTTGCATTAGTGCCATATTGGAGGCGACGCGGAGGCATTTGAGCCATCAGAAGAGTAGTTAGTGTGATGGAGCTCTTGGAGGCCGTCGTTTTGTCCTAATGCTCCTGTCTGTCAGGTCTTCGTTGTGAACCCGCAGCGCTGAACGCCTCCGCTCCTGTCTTCCCCACTCTACCACCGCTTCCTCCTCCTAGCCGCCTCAGCTCCTCTTCATCTATCCTCTTCCTTTTTCATGGTGGATCTTCGCTTTGTCTCCGCCAATACAGCTTCCGCACGCCGTCCGAACGATTCGCGGCCCCATAGGGCTCCACCGAAGGCCTCCGTAGCACAGGCCGTTTTCCGCTGTCCGATGCAAATTCAGCAAGCGTTCCACACGGTTCGCGGCCCCATAAGAAGGTGACACCGAAGATTCTCGCAGGAAAGGATGAGTGCCGCCGCCCAGACCATGTCAGCGCACCCTTCTTTCGGTTCGTGGCCCCATAGGATGCTACGCCGAAGGCTTCTGCAGCGTGGGCCGCTTGCCGCCGCCCAGACAGTTTAGGCACTCCCCTCGCGCAGTTCGTGGCCCCAGTCGAAGTTCCACCGAAGACCCTGGTAACATAGGCCGCCTGCCGCCGCCTAGACCACTTGAGTTCTTGATTCGCACGGTTCGTGGCCCCGAAGGGAACCCCGCCGAAGGTTTTCTTGGCATAGACCGCGTACCGTCGCACAGACCGCTTCAGCTATGTATTCACACGATTCGTGGCACCATGGGAAGTTCGGCCGACTATGGTTTTTTCTGCGCAGGCCGCGTGTTTCCGACCATACATGTTCGACACAATTCTCGCGCGCATCGTGGTCCCATTGAGGTTGACGCGGAAGGCTGCTGTCGCACGCACGGCACGCCGTCGCCGAGAGCATTGTTGCACGTTCTCACGCGGTTCGTGGCTCCACAGGATGCAACGCCGATGGTTTTTGTCGCGCAGGCCGCTTGCCACCGCCCAATCAACTCCAACACCCCCTCACACTGTTCGTTGCCCCACAGGGAACTCGACCGAAGTTTTCTTTCCAGTGCAGGCCGCATGCCGCTGGCCAGACCATTTCACTGTTTAGCTCTTGCAATTCGTGGTCCCATCCGGAACCCCGCCGAAGGCCTTTGTAGCGCATGCAGCTTCGCGTTTTCTGGACCATAACAGCACGCCTGACACGGTTTGCGGCCCCACAGGGAACGCCACCAAAGGTTTTGAAACACAGGCCGCTTGCCGCCGCCGAGACCATTTCAGTCTTTTCTTCATGCGGTTCGTGGCATCATAGAGAGCTCTACCGACGGCCATTGCAGCACAGGCCGCGCGCCGCCGTCCGGACATGTCATCACAGTCATCACACGGCTCGTGACCTCCAAAGGGGGTGCACCGAATGTTTTCGTGGCAGACTTCGCATTCGGACTCGATGTGTTGGTGTTTGTTGCATGCGCACTGCGTTCTGAAAAGGGTCTGCTTCTTCGCAAGAGTATGATGTGAGTCTGTGTGGGGCTCGTCGTGGCGCTTTTCTGTGAATGCGTGGGACTGCGCCCTGAAAAGAGGACGAGCCTAGCGTCTGGACGGCCGGTAATGTCAGTCATGCCAACCTTGCAGCGCGCACCCTCTTGAACCTAGCGTGATACCTGCCTTCACCGTCAGCCCCGACCTTGGGCGAGCCACGCGCGGCACTGCGGACATTCCGCAATCCGCAAAACCGACTTCACAAGTATGCGTGAGGCGCGCTAATCGGTCATAATTGGGTACGCAACTGCCAGACGTGCAACACACCGCAACATTTGTTGCATCGCTGCGCGACGAAAGCGTAAAACTGTGCACCGGCCCGAAGCATTACAGGACAGCAGCACCGTGACACATAATGCAGCCATTTCTTACCACCGTCCTGGGACGCGGTGGGTTCGGTCCCGATTGCTTGGTAGTTATTCAGGAGCGGTTCTCAGGAGCATCGGGGCAGTCTTGGTCGATCCCGTGTCAAAGTTGGCGGAGGCCTTCGGGTGCGACATCCCGCGTGTGTTGATGGAGCAGCTGGCTCGCGAGACTGGGCACGAACAGCTGATCGGCCAGCTCGAGATTTTGCCCATGTTGGCTGCGAGGATCAAGTGGGCCAGTGTCTTCGAGAAACATCCTGGCAGGAGCGTGCTGGGATTCGTCGATAATGACAGCGCCCGCTTTGGGTTGATCAAAAGATACAGCCCGTCGCCAGCAAGCGTGTGGCTTTGGGCGGGTACTGGCAGGTTGAGGAGCATGCAGGAAACCGCACGTATTTTAGCCGAGTGCCATCAGCGAACAATTGTTCCGACGGGCCGAGCCGGGGCAAATTCGATTCTTTGCCCGTCGTCTTGGGGGCCCAGGTGTCCCAGGTGCGGAGAGTGCCGCCGCCAAGCTTCGTTGGGAGACTCGTGCGGAGACGGCTGAGTACAGGGGGAGTCGGCGGGTCTCTGGAGGTCGAGATCCCGCCAAGCCTGCATTGAATAACGTTTTGCCAGATATCATTGCAAGATGACCCCATGAAAACTAGTACGTCATCTTCCATCGGGGACGGGCGGAAGGGACATAGCAGGTAACACATAAGTATCTCAAATGTGAAGCATCATTTGTTTTCTGCCATCCTGCGAACGTGTGTGCGCAAGTGCACGCATGCCCAATCCGTCCGTCGAGCGAGGGTACTGCGCTGTTTTGGGAATTGGACCACGCACGGTTTCGATGAAAGCCTCGGGCAGGCACTTGCCCTGGACTCGGATGCGCCTCTGGAGATACTTGTATCCACCGCGTGCGGCAGGTCAGCCATTCAGCTGGTGCAGTGTTTGGGATATTTGGGCCGCAGACGGTGTCCGACGCGCGCCTTGAGAAGGCGTCTGCCCTGGTGTCGGGTGTGGCATCCAGTTTCGGTCAGCAAGTTGGATCCTAGAGACCATCAATCAGTGGCGTCCGTCAACATTCGGATCGAGAGCTGGGGGACAGGGCAGCATTGCGCCGCCCAGCTCCAAGAGTATTTGCCCCGCCCGCCCGCCCAGCAAAACAAAGCTGGGTGGGTGGGGGGGCGACGAGAAAAAAAATTGGAAGTGACCCACCAGGGAGTCGGAGGGGAGTCGGCGGGTCCCCAGAGGTCGAGATCCCTTCAAGCCTGCATTGAATGAAGATTTGCCAGATATCATTGCAATTTGACCCCATGAAAACTAGTACATCATCTTCCATCGGGGAGGGGTGGAAACAGGGAAACAGCAGGTACCACAAAATCCACAACATGTGATTCCACATTACGTGCGCCACATATACTGCACCACGTATCTTATATATGCACAGTGCAGAAACGGACTGTTTGGGATCCGCGTTGACACACATGAGTATGCAGTTCCTCTGATGTGAAGCAGGAGCCTCTGCACGATGTCTCCAAACCTGTTGAACATCATCTTGTTCACGATCGTGTGCAACACTGGTCCCAGCGCGAAGCGCCTGACAGAAAGTAGCACCCGTGCGTGTGTGTGTCAGTATGTCGGTGTGTGCGTGTGTGTGTGTGTGTGTGTGTGTGTGTGTGTGTGTGTGTGTGTGTGTGGGTTGGTCCTGTGTGACCGACGGCATCATGCCTGCCGCCAATCCGATGACAACACTGCCTTTCGATGCTCACTGGCGCTGACCTTCCTTTGGTAGTTCGCACTGACGCAACCTGTAAGCTCCCCAGTTTCTCGTGCCTGGGGCCGGCTGCGCGCTCTTCAAGACGCAGGCTTTCTGCGTCTGTAAACGCGCTTTTTTGGGCCACGATTTGCGAGCCCCCGTCCGTGGAAACAATTGGATGCCAACCGCAGAGAATTGTCAGAGTTGCGGAGGAATGGCAACTTCTATGTGCCAGGCGAGTAAATGAGCGGCGCCCGGGTGCCTCTTTCTGGCCCCGCGGACGGCCGCCCTTCTGGGCGAATTGGGAGTTGCCTCTTGCCTTTTGCCTCTTGCCTGCAGGACTCCCCTCTCTTGGACGCCCCCGGCTCAGCTGGTCCCCGGCCCAGGCCCCCGCGGGAATCGCAGCGGTCACGAGGGCGCGGGAGGCGGAGGCGGCGGCAGCCGCACCTTCGCGGAGGCGCGGCGCGGATGGGGCGCAAAGGTTCGGGCTCAGCCCTTGTCGCGAGGAGGAGGAGGAGGAGGAGGAGGCACAGGAGGAGGAGGCGAAGGAGGAGGAGGATGGGGAGGGGGAGGGGGAGGGGGGGAAGGAGGATGATCAGGAGGAGGAGGAGACCCAAGATTCATCAACGATTGGACTAAGCCTTGCCTCCAGCCTTCCTTCCCATAGGCCCCTTACACGGGTTCATTTCCACTCAGGGGCGTGCCCCGTTGGGAGAGAACCATTGGAACGTGGCAAAACACTATTCGGAGTTTCAACGCCACGAATCACCCTGACTGTTGCGTCTTGACACCATTCTTGGTACTCCAACGCAGCGAATCAACGTGACTGTTGCGCCCTCACCATACGGAACGTGCAATTCCTGCAATTTCTACAGTTGCATGTGCGCGGCGCCAGGGCGAGAGCCCCACTTTGGACAGGAACCTCCCTTAATCAGTGAAACCCTTGCAACTGTTTGACGAGTGTGCGCGTCGCTAAGGCGAGAGCCACATATTGAAACCGACCCGCCCTCAACCCGTGAAGCTATTGCAAATGTTCAAGACGAGTAAACTATTCGCGTCAAGGCGAGAGACACATGTTTGAAACCACCCACCCTCAATCCGTGAAGCTCTGTTTTAAGACGAGTGCGCGCGGCGCAGAGGCGATTGCCACGTTTTGAAACCGACCCGCCCTCCATTCGTGAAGCTGTGGCCAATGCGATGGCGAAGAAGTCTCAGGCGAACTCCTCAGGGCCTTTTCAGGCGGAAGATTGGAATTGTCGGTTCGTGTTCCCTCTCTTGGGCCCCTCTTGGGGCCGTCCTGGGACTCTCTGGGGGGCTGATTTGGGCGCCTCTTGGGCCGCTGTTGGGCTCTCTTGGGCCGTCCAGGGACCCTCTTGGGCCTCTTGGGACGTATTGGGGCTGTCTTGGGCCCCTGGGACCGTTTTGTAGCGTCGGGAGCTTGAACAGGGGATAACATGAAAACCAATTGAAACCAGCCTCTTTGGGCCCTCGTGGGGGTCCTCTTGGAGCGCTCGCTCTCGGGGCTTAGTGGGGCCGCTTAGGCTGTCTTGGGGGCATCTTTGGGCGATCTCGGCGGCCGTGGTGGCCTCCCAGGTCCGTGTTGGATGCACCCTTGGCGATTTTGGACGCTTTGGAGACCGCCAGGGGCGTGTCTGGGTGCCAACAGGGCCTCGGCAAGAGGGGGCGGTGCGCGCGACGAGGTGCAGCGGCGAGGGGGGGCCCTTAGAAGAGTGCAGAACCCCAAGTTGTCAGCACTTGGCACTCTAGCACGCCTCAACGTGCCAGGGGGCACGGTGGCGGATATCAGGAATACGAATTTTCGAGTGCAAGCCATGGTTAGGAAATGTGAATGCCCACCTACCTATACACATGCATTGCTCCGTACATTATATACATACAAACATGCATAGTACATGCACACATGCATACATGCATACACACATACACGCATACATGCATGCATGCATGTGTACTTACATGCATGCCCACATACATACACACATACATGCGCACATACATCCATCCATCCATCCATACATACATACGCACGTATGTGCATACACACATACACATACACACACCTACATACATACATATACACATACATACATACATGCACGTATGCATGCACACATACATACATGCATGCATACATCAATGCATCCATTCATGCATACATACAGGCGTACATGTATACACACAACCAATCACATACATATACATATACACACTTATACATACATTCACACATCCATACACGTACCTACATACATATATACATACACACACATACATACATACATGCACACATACATACATGCATGCAACCAAGCAAACACAGATGCATACACACATCCATCCATCCATACACACATATGGATCCATTCATACACACATGCGTACAAACACACACACACATACATATAATAATTCATGCATTCACACGCGCAAACATACATCCATGCATACATACATCCATACATGCATGTGTACATACATGCAGTCATACACATATGCTTACCTACATGCATACACACATGCATACAGGCATACCTCATATACATACGGGGCCCAGGATGGGCCTGGCCAGGGGACTGCCTCTCGAGATCGCCCGGTCCGGCATCTTCCCAAGTCATTCTGGACCCGTTCTTTCGCCTCAATGCTGTCTTCGGATTTGGGCAGTACGGCCAAGATCCCTTGGTCCAAAGTGCACCAACAGATGCACGTGGGCGTGCTCCCACCCCTGTCCCCGCACAGCTCCACTGGCCGGCTTCCTACTCCGCGACCCGCCTCCTCACCTTGCTGCTGTTCGGGCGCTTTGCCGGGGCAGACTTTCACAACAGGGGCCCCTGGAGGTCTCGACCCACTGCCCGAGACCAGTGTTCATCCAGAGTCGCTTCTCGACGGCCCCGGGGCGCTCGTGAGGTCGAAAATGGCCGAAGACCTCCTGTCGTGCCTTTCTCATGCGGGGTGCGGGTCCGCCCCGGACCGCCCCTCTGGGCCGCGCGGCAAGAAGGCGCGCTGCCTGGACGCCGTCGGGGCGTCCAGGTAGGCTGCAGGAAGGGCCAGCAGCTGCCGAGGGCTCAGACGAAGCCCGGTGCCTGACCCCCGCCCCCTACGATCTCTGAGGGGGAGGGCGGGGGGTAGGGCTCGCATGTGGCCCCTACACGAGCACCACTGCAGGCTGCCGAGTTGGCTCCCGAGGGGGTCCTGGGTCCCCAGGAGGGGTGCCGGCCCCTGGCCTCCCGGGTCGCCGCCCCGGGCGCGCCTGCCCGCAGCGAGGCCGCCTCGGAGTCGGCGCAGGACAACGCCACGCCCCCCCTGCACGCGGACGGCGAGGCCGCCTCTGGCGGCGAGGCACAGGACGGCGCCAGGACGGCGCCCCGCGAGGGTCCCCGTCGCCCCGCGGCCCGCTGGTCCCAGGCCCCCCCTCTCGGGGGGGGGGGGGGCAGAGAGGGGGGGTGATGACTAAGGGGGGGGGATCTCATGGCGTGGGCCATGAATGTTCTCAGATTTCATGGCGCCTCTTCTTGTTTCATTGCGTCCCTGGCCCCTCCCCTTGGGCCGCGCACGTGCCGCCGGCCATGATTTGCAGCCCCCCTCCTCTTGGACGCCCCCCGCTTGGCTGTTGGCCGCCCCCGACTCCCGGTTCATAAAACAAGCACCGCGTGAGGTTTCATCGGACGGGGCTCGGACGAGAATGAGTCCGTTCCAGAGCGTTCTGGCACGCTCTCGGAGCGCTCGGGCACGCTCCGAGAAGCCGCGGCGCCCGAGGCATCCTCTGGAGCCGCCGGATCTCAGAGATTCTGGATTTATTCTCACCCGATTTGATCCTCGTCCTGGCCTCGTCCTCTTACTTCAGCTATTTTCAGCCTCTGGGGTCCCTTGCTGGGCCTGGGGACCGTCAGCAAAAACGACCCAGGCTGACAAACCAGTCCCGGGGAATGTGTCGAGACCTCTGGGGGTCGACGCCATGAAAAAAATCATGGCGTCGGATGTCTGGGCCCCCGTGCTGCGGCCAGGGGCGACGAGGTGGGGGCGGGGGGGATCGGCTCCGTGATCCTCGGGGCGTGGGATGGTTCTCTCGTGCGAGTGACGCAGAGATCGGGGGTGGACAGAACCCCCACCCTGACACGTCGATTAGTGAATTGGCCGTTCTCGGTTCTCGAGAGGGCGCTGCGGCCGTCATTTTCCAGGCTTGCGCCCGCCAGGTTTGGGCCCGAGGTCGTTTTCACTAAACCACGTTTTACTGAAGGGGGGTCTGTCCATCCCCGAGAGAAGCGGGCTTGACTGCGCCGACATTCGCGCGTCAGCTGCCCGTGTAAGGTCGCGCACGAGCGCCCTCTTTTTGTTCCGTTGCAGTGTGCCGCGATGGCGGCCCGCGTAAGCCACCGCGGAGCTATGCCATGTCGTGTAAGACCTGTCTCTGTTCGTTGCTCATGTGTGTTTTTGGCCTCGGGGGGCCGCTTGTAGGCCTGCGGGGGGGGATCAGAGGTGGACCTGCGGAAGGCAATCCCCGGGGACGGTGCCGAGACTTCTGGAGCCCACGAGTGAACAGCATTCAGCCCGTTGGAGGTATGGGTGTGGCTGAAGGTTCTCCCAGGTCTTCGTGGGAGGCCTCCGTGGCCAGCAGAGTGTACCCCACGAGGTTCACATGGTTTGTGGGGTACATGGCGGCTGAAAGTGAGTGGGGAGCCGTGGGCACTTCGGGCCATGATCTCTTCTGTGAACGTTCGGCCCTGCGTCTCCTCTTCCTCCTGTTTCCTCTTCTGTCCTCCTTCTCTCCCTCCCCGTGCTCCCCCCTTGCTCTGGCTCCTGCGGCTTCACATCTCCTGATCCAACCCCCCCTGTTGATGTCTCGTCTCTGAAACGCCGTCATTTGACCGTGTCCATCCTTCCACCTGGTTGGGTTCCCCCCTCTCCGCCAAGAGATCAAAATGGCTGGACGAGCAGCAGTGAGCGCCAAGAAGCGCCACATCAAGTCCTCCCTGCGCGCCATGTCGGTCCGTCGTCTCCAAGAGATCTGCGGGGTGCGGCGCCTGTCTGAGCTCGGCGACGCTGAGGCGTTGGTTGATCGCATATACAAAGCGTTAGGCCTGAGCTCTTAGCATATCTTCCATATCGTCGAAGCCCGCCACTGCGAGGCTAATGTTTAGATGGCTTGCGAACAATCGTGCAGATTATTCGGGTCTTGTGCGGATCAGGATAAGACGGGCGGTCGCGGCACCCGGCATACCCTATGATGCACCGAGGCGTTCTCCTCTCCGCTACCGGCTGCTATCGACTCGGCTGGCATGCCGCTGGCCGGCGTTCGGGGCCGTTCCCGTTCAGCACTTGGCTGTTGGGCCTCGACGCTTGGCGTCGCTTCTCGGCGCGCGTGGTACACAGTTGCCGCGTTCTCTGAGTTTTGTACCAGTCTTTTCATGGGTGCTCGACTCTGCGGAGCTCGAAAGAACGAACGAATCCCTGCTCCTGCTTCTCTTCCTCACCCTTCTGTTCTTGCCCTTCCTCGTCACATTTATGCTCCTGGTTCTACTTCGCTCCTCCTTCTCCTCCCCCTTATCTCTCCCCCTTCTCCTCGTTGCTCGCTCTAACCGAAAAGGGTCTTTAATGATGCCCACCCCCAAGCTCTCGGCTGGGAATCGTCCTCTCCTCCTCGGCCTCCTCCGCGCTCTCCCTCCTCGCCCTCTTCTTCGCGTTCCCTCTCAGTCCCTCCATCTCGTTCTCCCTCTCCACGTCCTTGCCCTCCTCGCCCTCCTCGCGTTCCTTTCCTCGCCCTCCACGTCGTCCTTCCTCTCCTCGTCTTTCTCTGTCTTCGCCCTTTCCATCCTCGCCCTCCTCCTCGCTCTCCCTCCTCATTCTCCTCCCTATGCTCCCCTCCTCGCTTTCCCCCTCGTCCTTCTCCTCCTCGCCTTTCCCTTTCCTCCCCCCCCTCTCCTCGCCCTCGTCGTGATCGCCGTGATCGTCATGCTCGTCGTCGTTTTCTTCGTCGTCGTCGTCGTCGTGATCGTCGTCGCCTTCGTCTCCTTGCCAATGTCGTCGTCGCCATCGTCACCGTCGCCGTCTGCATATGGTGCTCGCGCAAATGACCGTGCGCAGTGAGAGCTCGCTCGCCGTAGTTGCGGTGAGCTTGTTCGGTATTTGCTGCGCGTGGAATTAGTTGTGCAGTATTGTTTGATGTGTTGGATCATGTTGATTGCTGTTCCTCCCATCGGATAATGTTTCCTGGGATACCCTGCACGACAACGGAAATTTGAACTAGTTGGTAAACGGATAGAAAGAGATCCTGCTACTTCTGCAACCAGGTCGGCGCGTCGTCTTCGTCGTCGTCGTCGTCGTAATCGTTGTCGTCGCCTTTTCTATGGGACTTCGCGCAGGTAATCGTGCGCAGTGAGATCTCTCCATGTTTGCGGTGAGTTTTGTTCTGTGGTTGCCGCGCGTGGCATCATGTGCGTTCCATTGTTCTGCCGTGCTGGATTTGGTTGTGTGGTTATTTCCCCCATCGGATGACGTCTCCCGGGCCACCCTGCGCGACACGAGCTTAGACCGTATTTGCAATAGTAGGGGTAGTCGTAGCGCCGGCCGTTCGGATTCCCAGAGATTCCCTACACATCCTATGTAATTCTAAGAGAATCCTAAGGTTCTTGGGGGACCCTTAGGAACCCTTAGGAACCCTTTGGAATCCTACGAATCCTTGGGGCACCCCAGGAATCCTAAAGGAACCTTCGGGGTCCCTAGGCATCCTAAGGCGATCATTAGGCATCCTACGAATATCCAAGAACCCTTTGGACTCCGAAGGGGGTCTTTGGACTCCTTCGAACCTCTGGGAATTTCTAGGAACGTCTGGGATTCCCAAGGGCCCCTAGGAACTTTATCCGAAACAATCTTACGAATCCATCGGGATCCTAGGAGAACTCCAGGGATCCTCGTGAGAATCCCTTAGGAATCCTACGAATCCTTAGAAATCTTAGCGGGATCTTGGAATTCCTAAGAAACCAAGGGAATCCCAGCTGTTGCCGCCGCGGGAGGGGAATTCTTTTCCCTGTGTTGTCTTCGGTCCCAGTCCGCCAGTCGTTTCCATTCTGCGAACGGGGTTTATTCAAGACCCTCCGCTTGTCTTTGCACACAGGCTCGACTCGGGTGGCCCGCTGTTACGCTGCGTTAGCGTCGCCCGCTCAGAAGGAGAAGCAGATGGAGGACGGCCAACGATTTTGGCTTCCATGGCAGCCAGCCGGCGCGACGGTCAAGACTGACCCCAGCTGCCTGGACCCTTGACCTCCGAGCGCTGCTGCCTGTTTCTTGGTGCCTTCTTATGGGGCCTCGGGCCCTCGACAGAGGGGCTGATGCCGTTGACCCGCGTTCGACGCTCCCGGGGCCATGCTCTGACCGTGCCTTCACGGCATTTGCCATACCCATTGGTCGTTGAAAGGTGGCTTCACCTTTCCCGTCCTCCTTAAGGGGCGGACGGAACTCAATCTGCTTTGAGCTCCTTCCTACTTCAGGTTTCTACCTACTTCTGCCGACCGATGGGTACTCATCCATCCGGCCCGCAGTCGTGGCAGTTTTGCTGCGTTCTCGGGCGCACGAGTCGATCCACGATCGCTCGCGCGCTTGGCATCCAGCTGCCTCCCGCAACTCCTCCATCGTGCCAGCGAATCATGCTGGGTGGCAGCTGCTCGAGAAGGCAAGGGGCTTGCTGGGGGCCTGTTGGGGTAGAAGGCTCGAATTCTTGGTTCGTGTGCCACTCCTGGGCCTCTCTGGGGGCCGTCTTCGGGCCCTCTTGGGCAGTCTTGAGGGCCTCTTGGGTCGACTTGGAGCCCTCCTGGGCCGTCTTGGAATTCTGGGGTCTCTTGCGCCGTCTCGGGAGAGTCTTGGGGCCTCGTGGGCCGTCTTGGGGCAGTCCTGGTGGCCTCTTGGGTCGTCTTGGGGACGCCAGAAAGAGCGAAAACCCCAGACACGGAAAACCTCTGTATATTCGTTGATTTTTGCCTCGAGTTTTTTGGGGGGACGGCTCTTGGGGATATTTTGAGACGCCTTGACGGCCTGGTGGGCCGTCTTGAAGCCAGTTTGGGCCTTCGGGAGGCCAACCTGGCCCGTCTTGGAGCGACATTGGGCAATCTTGTAGGCATCTGGAGCTCGGGAGCGCGAATCTGTTACATTTTGCGAGGAAGAGGGAGCGATGCACGCAGCTGGGTGCGCACGGGAGAAGGGGGTGACCTTTCAAAACATTACAGAAGCCCTACTAGACAGCACTTGGCATTCTACCACGCCTCAACGTGCTAGGGGGCATGGTGGCGGATGGTGCACGAACCCGCTGAGATGAATCAGGAGATTCGGTAGAATTCGCGCTTGTGCAGCAGTGCCTTCCAGGACCACAACCAGCCGGTCATCGACGACAACGTCCTTGATGACCTGTGGCGTTCTCTACGACAACGTGGACTTCGAAGGCTGTGTCGGAGCGTGCACGCAACTGCGTACCCGCATCCACCTGGACACAGTTTGGCGGGAGTCTCCTTCTCCTCCTCCCGAGGCCAAGGCTTCGGACCTCCGAAGAGCTGTGCCCCTCGTCCCCTCCCCGCTCAAGCCGGCTAGGCGGGCAGGGCGAGGACATTGTGAAAACGGCCCGAATCGGCCTTTGGTGGGGCCGACGGGCTTGAGCAGGGGGCCCGATGCGAACCCTACCCTTACCCCCCACGATTTCGGAGGGGGGTAGGGGTAGGCTTCGCATGTGGCACCCTATTGAGGGGGATGACGCGGGGGGCCCGGGGGCCGAAGGCTGGGGCGAAGCGAGGGGCCGAAATTCAAGCGCAGGGCGACGACGAGGAAGAGGGAGACGCGTCGGTGGCGGCGGGGGCTGTCCTGCGGGGGCAAAGGGGTCCCTCTTCCTCCTCCTCCTCCTCCTCCTCCTCCTCCTCCTCCATTCCTTTCCCTTACAACTGACTCCTCCCTGTCGCGCCCCGAGGCGTGTCGGTATGGCGAGCTGGGCGCTTCGGTTGATAATTGCTCACTCTGTATGATCCTAGAGTCTAGAGCTGAAACTATGCAAGAGCTCAGCGGATGGAGGGCGGGCCGTTTCCAAAATGTGGTTCGCCGCTGCGCCGCGTACCTTTTTTCGGTTAAACCGAATTCAACAGCTGACAGGTTATCAGGTTGAGGGTGGGCCGTTTTCAACATGTGGATCTCTCCTTATCGCCGCGCGCATTCGTTTGACTAAGTTGCAGGAATTTTAAGGTAGGAGGGCGGCCGTTTTCAAAATGTGGTTCTTGTCTTAAGGTCGCGGACCTTAGTCGTACAAGTTTGCAAGAGCTTTACTAATGGAGGGCGTGCGGTTTTCAACATGTGTTTCTCGCTTTAGCGACGCACGCATTCGTTGCCACAATTTGCAAGGTTTTGCACGGATGGAGGGCGGGCCGCTTTCAACATGTGTTTCTCGCCTTAGCGTTTGTTTTAAACATTTGCAGAGTATTTCACGGATGGAGAGCAATTTCCTTTTCAAAATCTAGTTTCGCCTTAGCGCCGTGCGCATTCTTATGGAGAGATCATAACAGTTTCAATGTTTCTCATGGTTCACGTCCCAGAAATTGTGGTTTGGCACGATGTCAGAGTGTCAGGGCGAAACGGTTACGTGAATTCGCGGCGTTGAAGTCCCAGGAATGGTGTTTTGGCGCGATTCAGGGTCTTCCAGACGCAACATTCACGGTGATTCGCGGCCTCGCAGTCCCAGGAAGTGTGTTCTGGCGCAGTTAAAAGATTTTCAAACGGTGGTCTTCCAACGGGGCATTTCCCTCAATGTGAATGAATTGTTGTTTTCCCTAATTTCCCTAAGTGGGAACTTGGAGGGGATTTTTTGTTTTAATCGCACATCTGTTACTGGGTGTTGGGCTTACACTGGTCCTCCTCCTCTTCCTCCTCCTCCTCCTCTTCCCCCCTGGGCCTATTGGTGGCAGAAGCCATCTCCCCATGTGCAGCTGACCTCCGCGCGTGCAGCGAGCGCGCCTGGCGCCCGGAAAAGTTCCCAAATCGTCAACATTTTTGATTGGAACCATGGATCCAATGTTTTGCGTTGTTTTTGAGCGGGATTGATCCGTGGGGGTTTCAGGACACGGATCAATATGAAAACGCCTGGCTTGCAAGCGATGCAACGCCAGGATCGAAGGGAACGTGCAACGCACAGGGCCGGCGGCACCTTGCACCGCGCGCAGTGGAGGCGGAAGGCGGAAGCGGAAGGCTGATGAGGATGCGGACGTCTGCTGAACCAAGAGGTCCTTGGAAGTCTCCGTAAACCGCCAGAGGCCTTCTCCGAAAATCCCCATGCCCAAAAAGTGCAACGACTGCGCAAATGCCACGATCTCCATCCCTCGAACTTCGAGGAGGAGGAGGAGGAGGAGGCGGAATGAAAGGAGGAAAAGGAGGTGTTTGTTTGCAGCGTTCCGACTTGGTGAGCAGGTGCACCAGGCAGCGTGAAAGTTTTGCCCCGGGACGGTTGTCGTTACCGACGCCGTTTGGCTCAACCGCTATCTTGCTTTCTGTGGTTCGCCCCACGGTCGCCAGAGCAGAGATGGCAGCAGCGGCCGCTGCAGCGACGCTAGTGGACCCTGGCCGCAGCGACCTGGGCAACAACGTATCGGTATTTGAAGTGGTACAATCTAGGGACAACCTATTCGCAGATCTACGCAGTGCAGGTTGCGATGAGGGGGGATTTTCAGGTACGTGAACACGGCGGTCAACACCAAACACGACGGCATGAAAGTGTTCTTTCAGCGCAGTGCCACACAGGACAATAATTAATCTTTCACGACGGCGCAAATGAGCTTCAACAGGAATATTCCCTTCATTTGAATTACCAGCCGCAACATGTATTGCGAGGGGCAGCCCAACAACCTGAAACAAATGAGAAGAACAAGTTTCAACACCAGGTGGCCGCTTCGGAGCGTGCTGCCAACATTGCTGGGGCAATACGGTCGGCAGGAAACCCGGGCAGAAGGAGGCGGAGAAAAACCCGCGAACGAAATCAATGTTTTTTCTCAGCCGTTTGATTTTTTCAGGCAGCAAGAGCCAGCTGTTAAATGCGGTCGCCCACGTGAAGCACAGTTGTCGGACAGCCCCCAAGAACTTGATCAAGAAACTCGGAACCATGGATGGGGCGCTACCCGATGACGACGAATATGGCCTTATCAGCATCATGTTCGGGAGGTTGACATAGAGTGCATGCACCAAGGTATCGCTGACTAGGAGACAGTAAGATGAAACAGAAGGATAATATGAGTTGAACGATGACTACGCCAAGCTGGGCGAATGCCTCTGGTATTGGTTGAACGGCAAGTTGGGGCGCACGGGCCGTCGCAGAAAAACTGGGTCTTTTAGGGGGCGACGGCCAAATAACACCCCAGAGTATATGCCCGTGGTATTCGGCCATTACAGGAGGGGAACTTCTACTTGATATGGATTTGGCCGTGGGCCCCAAGAAGCCCAGCAAGGTGAACGACGCAGGGCCCCAACTCGAGGGATGGAGTGTGTTGGTGGAGTCCCTGGGAAAGTGCGGGGCCGCATGCCCGCTGCCGCTACTATTGCCATTCAGGTTTGCCGCATTGGTGGTGATGATGACGACTCACGCCGGCGATTGTTTCGCCGTCTTGCAGCGGGACTGCTTCAAGACACTAGATTTTCTAGACCTTGGCGCGCGCCGGGGGCGCAGCACCGATCGGTTATTTCAGAAATGAAGGTTTTTGGAGGGTAGGGCACAGGCGCGAGCGATTCCGGCCATTGCGACGCAAGCAGAAACCGGTCATTCCGGGGGAGACGCGAGCGGACATGGCGAAGCGCATGGGGTCGACGCCGGAAAAGTCAAAGGTGGGGGGCTCGCGTGTTGCATGCGCGGAGGGCGTGGGCGCATGGCCAAAGACTGCGCCACTAAATGATCAGCCAAAAGAACATGATGATAACAGAATGGGCAATTCAAAGGTGCCAAAGGTTATCGAGGAGCGCAGGTACGAGCATGCAAAAGAGGAAAAAAAAGGGCACCGTGGGGTTGCGGCAAAGGCGGCTACACAGGGCCCCCTTGGGAGTTTTCCTAGGAGACCAAGCTCCAGGATGGATTGGGTGAGGCGGGGGGGGATTTGCGCCGATCAGCCGGGGCGAGCGTTGCAGATGCGGCGAAACAGGGTCGCATCGCATCCCAGCCCGCCGCGCGCAAGAAGCGCGCGGGGCGCCCCCGGGCCGAGGGGGGCAGGAGGTCCAGGAGAGCTCGCGCAGATGTTCAAACGGCCGCTGCCTGGGCCATGGCGCCGCGGCGCCGAAATCGGCGGGGCCACTGGCCATGGCGGAGTTGCCGGCGACGTCGCGGCGACAGAGCCGGTTGAAGGCGGCCCAGGAGTGGAGGGCCTATTGCTAGGTGGCGAAGAGGAGGGCCGGGGGGCCAGCCCAGGCGCCGAGAGGAAGTCTGCGCTACATGGGCGCAGCGTCGCACGCAATCGCGGCGCACCCCGCCGGGGCAAGCGGATTTCGACGTGCGTGCATCGAGCCGGAAAAAGTTAGATGCAGAAGCGCGCCGAGCCCTAGTTTGTCGAGATGGGGGGCCCAGACAAGGACATCGGCGACGTGCAAGTGAGGGGCCGGGAATGTGGGGTTGAGGCGGTCGCCGTTGCAGCGGGTTCCAGAGCCTGCAACGCAGCTGGGCCTCCGAGCGTAGGCGCTCTCTTCCAGGTGGAACCCGCTGAGGCCTCCGAGAGCGGCGAGCGCTGCATTGGGGCGAATGGGTCCGTCATTAGGGGCCGCTGGGAACGGTTCGTTGCGGAAAATCAGGAGAATGAGTATGTGGTGGGGGTGCCCAGCCAGATTGCTGTTGCGTTAGTCAAGTACTCGGTCTGCTCGCGAGACGGTCGAAGCGGGGATTCCCATCGCGCGCCGGGGCGGTTGCAGGGGTTGGCGAGGGGAGATGCGGAAGTCTGCCTAGTCAGGGAACTCCCATGGCGTGCTCGTTCTGCAATGGCTGGCCGAGCCCGCGAGGCCCGCGTAAGAAGACCGGCCGTCGTGAATTTGGAGGATGGCTAGGATGGCGTGGGCGGGGGCGCTTGGTTACGTGGCGTCGAGACCGCGTCGTCGGGGGGCGAGCCCGAAGACGCCCGCGGCGTCGCGCGCGACTTGGGGCCGGGCAGAGAGGAAGTCGACTGACGCAACAGCTTTTGCGCGCCATGCCGGGGCCGGCGCGCCCGCTGCGTTTGAGGGGAGGCAAGAGGGTGATCGCGCGCGTGGGGGTTTGAATCGCGGAGGCAAGGTGGCGCTTGAGATATGAGTCGACTATGCGTGGGGGGGGCAAGGAATGCCCACTGAGATCCTGCGTTCCTGGGCTGCCAAGTTAACCAGAGTCCGCCGGTCACTTGGGAAGGAGTGGGCCCTCGTGCGAGCGAGGTAGTCGGGGGCGCGATTTTGTTCGCGTATCGCGAGAACG